TAAATCAGCTGATATATATATATATATATATATATATATATAATATATATATATATATATAATGGCATGTGAATAAAAACACCCCATGTGTATGTAATAAGTAACTTTTGGAATACACAACTTGATATTTGTGTGCAAACATCATAGAATTTTATCATACTTAGTAATTATTCAAAACACGTGGAAGTGTTTCTTCTATTTACAACGGATAAACAGAAAAGTCAGGTTGATTAATGTGAAATGAGATGAAATGTTTTAAAGCACGAATGCGAAATACTACAAGAAGATAAAGACATTACCATTATGAGCTAACGAAAAATTTTATTCCATAGTTAACTCAATCAGCAAATACTGTCAGAAGAGATGATGACATAAAACAGAAAAAAAAGTTAAACGGATTATTAAACAGCTAAAGTTGAAAATTCAGAAATATGATCATACACCTGAAATCAGTGATATACTTCATATTGTAACGTGAGAATAATTCAGTCACTCAGATAACATTTTGTTTTTGATCTACTGAGAAATTAACTTATTAGTTTTATAGAGTGGCGTCGAGTCGCATTTGACTATGATCACCACTACAGGAAGATTACGTGCCAGTTAATCGATAAGATCACCCGTAGGTCAAATATCAGAAGGCAGTTGACGGCTGTAGTCGAGATGTATTTGTTGGCGATCTCGTGGTATCGATAGAATACCGAGGTCGTGCCAAAGGAGTACAAGTGTGGTTACTGAGCGTAACCGCATTTATGCAAGGCCACAATCAACGGAAGAATGTGTGTATTTTGGCACAGTTAAGCAAGCAAGTATGGTAAAACAATCCCTGATACAATTGGTTATAATAATAATTGTTTCCATTACACCAATCGCGTTCTCTTGATAAAAGTAGGTCACTACAGTTTAATATTTATATCAGTATTATTATTGAAGATTGTTCTGATAATTCTAGGTTAAAAAAGACATTCTGAAGTCGGGATAATTTAGAAAGAGCTTTAAGATAATTCTGATAAGTCTGAATGCAATCATTATTGTGCCAAGTTTTAGTCAGTTCATGAATAGCATTTATCACTACATGACCATATCTTCAAGTTTGACAAGTCATCTATACAATTATTATTTGACAGTGTGGTTAGATAGACTTACCATGAACTTGGAATTTCATCGAAAAAAAGTCGCAGCTGGATTATGATTAAAACAAGCTTTATATACTGTTACATAAAATCTTATTCACGAGTGACAAACCGATCCCACCAAGTGAACGTTAAGTTAAGGAATTTATATAACACGGAAGTAGTTTTTTCTATGAAGCTCCCACTCGAATTCTCTAGTCACCTGTATATGTAAGAATAGGTATAGAACAGGTTGTATAGTTTTATTTCAGTTTGTATTACAACTTACTTTAACCAGGCTCTACAATACCCGCTTTTCTTTAAGGCATTATTATCTACACTAATTGTTCAAACGAACGTATAAGATAATTCAGAATAAATTCCACTAAAGCTGTAAGGGAACTGTCCTTTGAAGTTAAAGGTAGAACAAACATTATTAGGAACATGAATGCTCTTCTAAGAGACACCAAAGAAGTTTTAACAATTTATTACTTTCAATTCAAATTCATTGATATATGGAATTTGATCTAGTGTTTTGTTTCGATTTAGTTATATTTCTGTTTTATGACTGTCAGGATTAATTTTTAGAGTCCATTCACCTTCCTAATATGAATGCTTGAATAATCTAATCTTTATAGTTCAAACCAAAATGAATAATCTGTTTTCAAGTTAACCGTGATGATTGTTACTCAACCGATCATTATTATTCAAAATAACTTAATAGCAAAGTCTACAAGCCTAAATAGTTAGCTTTACATTTTCATCCCAGTTTTGTCAGCTTCAAAACAACGAATATATGTGCTTTAAAAGATATTATTACAGTAATTGGAGATAGAAAATAGGCGATACTCACAGAAATAATGAAAAACAGTTGGTTCATTCATTTTTGTCAATCAGTAAGGTATTTTCCAGTAAGGGACGACAAGACATCTGACAGTGTGTGCATCTTATAGTAAACATTTCCTTCTACATTTATAGTAGCAATGACATTAAATATATCTTATTACATTCCATTATATCTCAGTTCATTACAGTAATTTGATAATCGCTATTACTATATTATATTTGTCTTTTCAATTAAAGTTAATCATCTACATTTCCTTAGTTAATGTAAGTTCTGGAACATTTCATTCAATTTCCAGTATAACTGATACTTATTAATATTGAAAAAAATAAACTCAATAAGATATAAGGTCAAATTAAAATGTCTCTAACTTTTGTTTATCAATTAGTTTTGGGGGAATTTTAAGTGTTTACGTTTTATAAATTAACATCTAAATATTAAAGTTAAGTGTTTCATCACCTTAATGATTATCAACATCATTTTTCATCATGTAAAATTTTGGTGAGTTCCTAAGCTATTTCTAACCTTTAAAGAATCTTATCTTTTATACAGTAAAATGTAATAATTCTGGAATATATTCATTAATTGTTTACCGATAGTAAAGCTAATGGAAGAAAAAATCTATCGAAGTAGAAGTTGAGGTATTAAAGAGTATCATAAATTTTTGAAGTTGAAACAATTTATTCCGTTTTAATGGATCTCAGAAATTGAGATTTAAGACAGATAGTTATGAATAGTTAGTCATGAATTTTTTAAAGTTAAGTAACGGCATCTATTAAACATCCATTCAGTAGTAAGCAGTATTATTTTTTTTCAACGAGAAATATGAAGGTCCTTTATGTGGTCGCTCTTAGATCAACAGTAAACATACATAATATTCATAATGAAAAAAGGATCGTATATCTGTTACTTTACGATTTTCAGTGGATGTTCAGTTTTGCAGTTTAGAAATTATGAAGTCATTTACTATAAACAAACAAATGTGTTATATCGGTAACACTAAAATCATTTTGTAATCAAGTGATTGCTATTCACGAAAGTGTGGACTGTAATTAATAGCTACCTAGAAACTGAAAAGAGAAATAATCACAATGGAGCAATACACAAATCACAAAGCTACAGTTTTTAACTGTGATGTAGTTAAACTTTTAAATTGTTTAGCTTTGATGATACTCATATTTGTTTTATTACTGTAGGCTTTGGATAATCAATATTGGTATCTGAAGAATCAAGTTCATGTGGTTTAAAATTTGTTACAGTTACACTGACATAATTTCTTTACTTTTCTAGCCTTAAACATTCTATTATTATGCCATACATTTTATTCTTTGCTTTGCTGGATTATTTCTATTGATTACTTATCACTTGAAACTTCTGTATCCCGTGTCTTTTCCACTAAGTTATCTAAAACAGTTTATCACAGTCTTTTCATTTATATATTTTCATATAAGTTTATTCTTGGATTTGTTGATGCAATGCATGCTAACTTAAATTAGTCAACTCATAAACAAACTAACTCCTGTAGTTTCTAACAAGAAAACAGCACATAGTGATTAACGTTTATCCAACTGCAAGCAGAACATTTACATTTCATAACAGAAATACTATATTCGAGGTGTTAAACTTGAATTTATTATCTGGCGATTTTCATGCCTCACGTAGTGCCTCACGAAAGTGCCATCAGTTAACCTTCTTCCCAGCTTTTAAATCCTTGGTTTTAAAGTTCACTGTTTTGCAACAGATGTAAAATGGCTAGTAAAATCAATCTGGAAGGTCATGTAAACTGACGTAATAATAGTGATGTAATATTTAAATGTATTACATACAAAGTTACGTGTTAGTCATAAGCCTTTCGTTTGATATATAAAGAGAAATTTACAGTTATTAAGTAAACAATTATGAAATACATATTTGTATATGGCTAAAATGAAGGAAAAAAATATTTGCTTTGACAAATGTTCAAATGTAATAGAGAATATTCAAACAGAAAATCTGTTTATTTCGATTGTTTGTAAGATGTAAAGAGAAAAAGCGAGTAAATTAGTCATTTAGGAAGGAAAAATTAAATTACTTCAGTATCACATTTTCATATAGTTTGATTTATTGTTCTTCAGATTTATGATTTAACATTTTCTAATCTCCATCCTTTTTAATTTGATTCTATTGCTTATTACAAAGAATCCAATCTGTAATGGTGCACTAAGACTGACGCCTAGAATAACGTTTAATGATATGATTGTTAGAAAAATGCAAACATACAAAACAAAGTTACTTATCATCTTATAATAAATAAGTGAACGAGATTTAATAATAAATAGAAGGTTAGAATAAGCTAACTTATTTGTATATATTGATACCATATTACAATTTATAAGATAAGTAAGTAACCATAAGATTAAGTAAATATTGGAACCGGTGGATGAAAGAATTAAAACAAGATACGTGTCATTGAACTAAAACAAAAAGTGAATTGAATCTCACAAAAAAATTTATGATCTTTTCTGATCTGTGTAAGATTATTCTAATCATATAATTTAAAAAATAAATTAGTGAATTCTTTTGTTCATTTTGTCTGTTTATTTTTTATTTTGCAGAAAAATATTGAAATATTTCTATCATTTATATCAGTACAATAAGAATAAGAGAAAAAAAAGGGACATATGATGGGTTGTATTATTAAAGTAATGTAATGGTCGAGGGATAATAATAATAATAATAATAATAATAATAATAATGACATCAAGCTTATTACTCATTTCACTAAAAGAAAGGAAATACAAAACGAAAAAAAGGCCAGGAAATAAACTATGGATGACAAGGCGTATTAAAATCACAACAAACTTTTTACAATGATAATATTATTATATGAAAATGTTAAAATACTTTTATTTTAATCTTTATTCTTTAGAAATTTTATTGAGAACACTTTTTTCTTTGAAAATATGAATAAGAGTTATTCATTCCAGGGGTTATGATGAGTTTTATTCTCTGTTTAGATGGATTATAAGTTAGTTTTTATGGAGTATCTCAGTAATGTTCATGTTCTATTTGAATACACTCTGTTCATCAAATGGAGTATCTATAAAATTAAAGAATTGTTATATATATATCCATATATATGATAACTGTATTTCACAAAATGAGTATACAGAGTTGTAAAACTATAGTATTGATAGATATTTAGTGAGCCTATGGTTAATAGGACAAAAACAACAATAGTCGCGGAAATGAGTGCAATTTCATTTAATCCTACTCCGGATTCTGTCTGTCTAAGCTTAAATATTCAATTTACGACCATAATTATAGCATTTCGGATAGATAATATTTTGTAAAGTGGATGGAGGTAGTAAGTAGGAAATCCTGAATCTAGGTTTTGTGTTAGTTGGCACTTGTCGATAAAACGTTTTTACAGCCTTGAAGGAACTGACGTTCCCTATAAGATTCCGACTCTTCATAAAGGTTGATAGTCCAAGGCGTGATCACTGGTCTACTCAAACCACTCCTGACCTACTGTAGCACTGATATAGCTACATGGATTAATCAACAAGTGATAACCTATGTCAAATTCGACAAATCAACAGTGCTATTCAAATTTTGCCGATCGAATTGCAATAAACCTATTGATCCAGGTGACTCAGTATCATCTACACTATGTTTCATATATTCTGGGAGATGGATTAACTTGCACTAGTGGGCCTTTGGCAACGTGATCAATAGAATCCGATCAGCACTGAAGACTAAATATTAACATGACATTGATTGATATCTAGCAATCAATCAATGTAGCTGACGTGATAAATAACAGCATAGCGCAAAATGTATGATCCTTAAAAACTTTCTGTCTGTCACATTTTTTGGCGAGATAAACGGGAATGCTTTTGTAAAAAACTAATGCATGTAAATTGTACAAAAGAAAGTGGAAAGCACAACAAATGACAAATAATATATTTTCTAGCTTTATAGTCTGTAGTTTTGGCGATTCAGTTAAATAAATGTCTTGAGCTTTCATGAAAATAGTCTCCCAATACAACTTACTTTTTAGTTGTTTGATAATTACTGAAAAAAATATGATATTTAGGCATTTTTCTAAAGATATTGACTGTTATAAAATATTTAAGGAAATTATCTGTTAATAAGTTCATTGTAATTTCAGTTAATATACTTTCGTCAAACAATACAATTATCACAGAATCTTATATTTAAGTTTATGAAACTTATTTTGAAGATGCATTTATTAGTTACTTCTAGATAAACTAATCTACTGTGAGGAAATAAGTATAGATCAGTTTGTGAAGTTATTGTCAAGTAAATTTTGTTTAAAAACTAAACCAAACAAGATACTGATTTATACATAATTACTATATATTTCATAATAAGTCTATTCAATCTATTTATGCTACAGTTACATATTTTATTCAAGTAAATTATAGAATAAATTGATTCAACCCTTGATGGAAGAAAAAATTAGCATAAATACGGATAAATTAACAAATTGTTAAAATAGATCATCAACAACCAACTTAAGTCATATATCGTTGAAAATTTCCCATTATATTAAAACACAATTGTATGAACGAAGAATATTCCTTTTCAAAAATTTCTCATCAGGTTCTACAATTATAAATCCAAATTAATAATCCATGAAATTGACCAGATTTAGAGCAGAGTACATCATTTGGAAATTGTAATATGTGAATTAAGACTTGTTGTTTGTTATCAAATCAGATCGTTAACTTGAATCAGTTTATAAGTGAAATGAAATTGTGCGATAAATAATCAGAATAAATATGGTCAACATGGGGTGAGAGAAAGAGAATAATGGGATGAAAATAAGAAATTACGTATTATGTAGAATAACATGAATTAGGTCAGATATAGTAGATAGGGATGGACAGTGAATAAATTCTTCAAAAAGGTTATCAAGTGTAATGATAATAATAGCAGTGATAAAGATGGTAATAATAATGGTAAAGCTAATCATAATAATAGTAATAATAGTAATAATAAGTTTGGTACATACAATCAACATTAATCAAATTACGTCACCATATTATAAGATTGATTATTAACTAGTTGGCCACAAAGTTGGCCAGGGTAAATGGAGTGGCTGAACATATTTCTTTTAGATGCAAAGCTCTGGCTTTTTGATCCGAATAGCAATTGCTTCAGCCGTCAGTAGGACTCTCAGTCTGACGGAATTAGGTAGACTGTTGTTAACACGATATATTATTGAGAAAGAATGCTCCATGTTGGCTGTATGTCTCGTCTGAACTAGATGGTCTATAATGGAGCTGTTAACCGTTTTGACTACACCTTTGCTTAACCACACGGGAGGTGCTCACGAGCTCGAATGTACAAATTCCTAGAACATCTGCCAATATAACTTACTCTACAGGAGCAGTTGAATGGATAGATACGGAAAGAGGTGGCTAGTCTAGGCAGTTTATCCTTCAACCTCGGAGTGATTATTAGACGTGTGAAAAACATTAGTTGTAGTTTACCTGCATTAAAAGTCCTTTGAATATTAGTCATCCCCAACATTGATGGTCTCATTGGATTTGATATGACAAACAACAATTCTTAATTCACAAGTTACAATCTCCAAAGGCTGTACTCCGCCTTAAATCTGACAAATTTCATGGATTGTTAAATTGGATTTATAATTGTAGAACCTGATGAGAAATTATTGAAAAGAATATTCTTCGTTCATATACTTACTTACTTGCACCTGTTACTCCCGCTGGAGCATAGGCCGCCGACCAGCATTCTCTAACCTACTATGTCCTGGGCCTTCATTTCCAGTTCTGTCCAATTTTTTTCATCTTTCTCATGTCTATCTCCATTTCTCAGCCTAATGTGTTCCTTGGTCTTCCTCTCCTCCTTTGGCCGTGAGGATTCCATGTGAGCGCTTGTCTTGTGATGCAGTTGGGTGCATTCCTCAATGTGTGTCCTGTCTACTTCCAGCGCTTCTTCCTGATTTCTTCGTCCGCTGGGATCTGGTTTGTTCTCTCCCATAGTAGATTGTTGCTGACAGTGTCTGGCCAACGGATCCGACAGCTGTTAATAAATACTTTTATCTTCTGAATGATGGCTTTCGTAGTTCTCCAGGTTTCCTCTTAAATCATATGATTATGTTTTAATTCATATATATATAATATATATATAAATAATAATAATAATAATAATAATAATAATAATAATAATAATAATAATAACACTTATAATTCATTAGTAATAAATCTATTCTCAATAAAAAAATATATAATTATATACATCATATATGAATTATTTCCTACCTAAATTTGATGATCCAGAACTATTCCAACTTTTACGATGAGAATTTAAATGAACTAATGAATTATTTGATTGAAAACAATAATTTTGTTGTAAATTCTTTAAATTAAAACTATTTGGCCGATGTATTCGTATAAATGCAGATGATGATAATTGAGAATGTTTATTATAATTTAAACGATTCATTGAATTATTTGAATAATTTGTTATAATTGTTTTGATATTTGATGATTTATTAATGATTTGTATAGATTTTGATAAATCAACATGATTTTTATTTATATTTTTGTCAATTGATAGTTTATTCTAGTTTGACGGTTCAATTATTGTTGTAAAGTGAAAGTAGAAACCAACAAAAGAAAAAAAGAAATCAAAATATTGACAAGGATAAAATTGAATGAAATCAAAATACTTTAGCGACTAAAATTTAGTTAAATTACAGAATATACTAGCAAAACTAAATATTACATAGGGATTTATCATTATATACTTTGTATATTCAATTGGGTAACTTGAACGATGTAAATGATATATTTTTTTAAAATATCAAGTGTTTCATGTAAAACACTTTTATTAATAGATTATGATTTGACAATAGTAAACGGATAATAAAAAGTAATTTCAAATATTAGCGTATTAGTTGATGTATTTTCGTTGAAAAGTATAGCGATTGAAAAGTGGACTGGTAAAGATCAAATCAAAGATCTGTGATATCATAAAGAACAAGATTGAAATATAAACGAGAAGAGCAGGTTAGAAGGAAGCATAATGTTTGGAGAAGAATAATTAGAAAGTGCTTCAGCATGCAGTTTAATTATGTCGAACTGCTACGCACTTCTGAGGAGTACCATACTAAGACAAAACGTACGTCCAGTGCTTCCAGGTTTGTAATCATAGTTCAACACTGATTCATCCATAATCTCAATGAAACTATGTCAAACTTTATTGGATATTATTGTCAAAGTGTTACAATGAATAGTTAGCTATCCATTCTTATTTAATTCTGTAGTTTAGAAATAAATCAACTTATTTTTCAAAAGTTTACGCTTAACATTCTGTTTTCTTCAACAGATGAATAGATAACAACACACTCATTTACTTTGAGAGATATGTACATAAGTAAACATTTACGTTTCGAACCTGTATCACTTATCTGTATAGTAGAATGATTCATTATTTTGAATACTTGCATAATCATTTTTATAGACGACCTATTTATCTATGCAAAAATAAACTAGAATTCAATTAACGTTTGCGTTTATTAACATATATACAACGTTCTTTTTGTCACAGTAGAAAGAATCGAATAAGATTTAAATACATATGATTGTATACAGAGAAATATAAATGATAAATGATGAAAAGTTAGATCGATAGCGCATACTCTTGTATGCATTAAGTTTGATTGCAATATGAAACTTTGACAAGTTGAATTGTTTAAGGGAATTACTGTTATATTCACTTTGATAATTTAAGAGAGTATTTATTGGAATGAAAGTGAATAGACTTAGGATTTTTAATTGATCCAAAGACAGCTCGTAGTGATTTTTTTTTTTACCAAGATCTAGCATAGCCGACATTTCGCGATTCACTTGTCACTTGAGCTCATACAGCTCAGTCAGTCATTCATTCAGTCAGCTACAACGTACGACCAGGCATATATATGCATCGGTCCGAGTTGCCATACCTCATTAACACAACAAGATGGACACCACATTCATAAAAGTAGTTAATTCAGAGGTGGTAATATATAAAAGAAAGATTGCAATAAGGATATAGTACAGGAAGAAATAATTAGTTCACATAAAGAAATATATGAGGCGATTTTAATCTCTTAGTTTAAGGGAAGACAGAGAGTGTATACACCTACGCCATTGTGATCCATTCTGAGCTATGTCACCCAGAGTCTCCAACCATTGGTTACGATAGTCACGTGGACCCCAACCAAGTAGTTTAGTAGTATCTCCCAACATGGCTCAGACCAGAAGTTAGTGACTTCAATCACCGATGCCACGTTTTGGTTGACCGCTCCTAACTTTCTTTCAACCATCCCCTACACTAGTCAGCATTGTGCGTCGTGGTAAACGGTGTTTAGGCATACGTAACACGTGACCCGACCATCTCAGTCGATGAAGATTCACAACCTCATCAACTGGTTTACCATCATTCTCGAATACCCTGCGTCTAACCTCACTATTACTTACCCGGTGATCCCAGCAGATGCGAACAATATTTCTAAGGCATCTGTGATCAAATACCAGTAACTTACGCGTATCCTCTATCCTTGATGGACTCGTTTCACAGCCGTGAAGCAGAATAGAACGAACTGCCGCGCAGTATACTCGTTCTTTTATTGACGGATATCTCGCCTTCGCCATAGGTGACGTAAGTTGGCAAAAGCCAAGCGAGCTTTCCGAATCCGTGCTGAGATTTCGTCAGACACCAACCCATTAGGGCTGATCAGACTTCCAAGATAAGTGAAGTTGTCAACGCGTTCGACTACTTCACTCTCTATCCTTAGTTCAGGTGTTGACACAGGCCAGTCCTGAAGCAACAACTTGCATTTAGAGGGAGAGAAGCGCATTCCAAACATTCTGGCATTGTTGCTCAGTGCTACCAAAAGACTCTGCATTTTATCAGCGTCTTCACCAAACAGGACTATGTCATCCGCGTATTCTAAGTCGATAAGTGGACCTCCTGGAAGGAGATCAATACCCGAGAATTCTGTAGACGAGAATGTTATTTCCATCAATAAGTCTATGATGAAGTTAAACAAAAATGGGGAAAGTGGACAGACTTGACGGACATCACTTGAGGTTGCAAAAGTAGATGACAGTTCGCCATGAGCTCTGACTCGACTAGTAGCCTTCACAAGGTTTATGTACTTCTGAGGTACGCCTTTCAATGACAAACACTGTCGCAGAATCTCGCGGTCTACAGAGTCAAATGCTGCTTTTAGGTCGAGAAAGACCACCCTTGTCGGACGCCGATAGGTATGCCTGTGTTCTAGAACCTGACGAATGGTGAATATGTGGTCGATGCAGCCACAACCAGGTCTGAAGCCAGCCTGATTTTCTCGTGTTTGCAGTTCACGAGTCTTAGTCAAGCGTCTGATAATTATCGAGGATAGTATTTTAGATACTATATTTGTTAAACTAATCCCTCTATGGTTGTTACAGGATGATTTTAACCCTCTCTTATATATTGGGACGATAAGTGAATGTGAGCAGTAAGATGGAATAATGTCTAACTCCCAGATCTTAGCTAAAATATTAGTCATCCTAATCGCTAAAATTGGCCCACCATCCTTAAAGACCTCTGGAGCCAATCCATCTAGACCAGCTGCCCTTCCTCGTTTCAGATTAACTATAGCCTTTTGAACTTCAGCAAGAGTTGGGGGACCTACTTCAATGTTCCATTCACACTGTCTGGGAATGGAGGGTAGTTGTAGAGTAGCTAATGGCCAGATGAACTGTTCTCTGAAATGTTCCACCCATCGTTCTAAACGTCTGGACTGGGAGTACATGAGAGTATCGTCTTTTTCCGAAATAATCTCACGCTTGACTTATTAATTCCAGTTTCTTTTATTTGTCTGTAGAGCTGTCTTGAGTTCCCTATAGTCTCCGCCTTTTCCATCTCTTTTGCTTTCGTTGCCCACCACTGCTCACGGTCGTTCCTTAGACTTAGGGTTCGTACGTTGAAGGCTCCAATGTGTAGTTTGGAGCGAGTTTTCAGTAGACCTGGGACAGTGTTTTGAGCACTAGAATCGTTGGCTATGTTGACACTTGAGAAGGAAGCCGAACGAGGAAGTTTAGAGTTGAAAGTCGATGTAGGAGGAATAATAGGAATTGGGGAGGGAGGTTGATTAGGAATACAGTGGTCTTGAGTGCTGTTAGAGGTATGAGGGCGGTTAACACTTCTCGGTTGCCCACACCATGGAAGGGTTCTCCTCGAGGTGCCTGAAAAGGAAATTGGATTAGAGGTGGTCTTAGTGACCTGAGAGCGTGACCGCAATGCCCAAGGGACAACTGCTTGAGGTCGGTCACATACGACCTTTTTATGAGTAATTTTTGTGTTGGCTCCGTACTTATTGAGACCTTACCGCCGGAGACGGATATCCGTGGGATAAGGCGAGGTGTGCACTTTTAGGGTCGACCTTTTCTAACCCCAACCCTCCTTGTGGGAAGGCAGTATCGCTGTCATGCTGGTTGTCTGAAGGAAACACCTTACTGCTGTCACACCTCTGTACAGTCAGCAGTACGACTTCGCCTTCAAACCGACCTGTCTGACATGGTAGGACCTTTCAGAACGGTTGTTCCAGCCAGTATAGCTCAGGTGTTTCATCACGATAGGCAAGCCCGACCACCACGTCAGGTTAGCAACAACGATCGGTATACAGCTCAGTTCAAAGCATGAATGAATAACTGTTGAGGATTTTCTAGCTTTGAAATTGTTTACTGACAAACTGTGAAGTTTAATAAAAAGTGACCGTAAATATGGTTGAAATAACTTTCTCGATTTGAGATAACATAGTGTTGCATAATGATATTAAGTGAGCTTATTTACTGAATTAAACGGCAATAATCTAGATGTGTGGAAACGGCAAAGATTATTGTTCAGTAACGTTGTCACCTTGAAAACGCTTTAACCTTATCACTTCAGGAGCTATTATGCAACGCATTTGTTGTTGACAAAGAGACTAGGCAGAAAAATAGAGGGATCAGTTTACGAAATGTTCCTACTGAGTGAAGGATATTTGTATTCTGTTACAATCTGTCGAATTGCTACTACTTTGAAAATCAAGTCCCAGAAATGACGGTACACTGTGGCATGAAATGTCGTCAGACAAACATCAGAATAAAGGTTTGGATAATCCTGTTGATGTTTCATTTTTTTATAAATCATAGGGGAAGGTCTAAAAGAACGATATATATTTTTTCTGTGTTCTTAAACGAACCAGGTACTTTTCCTCTCCTATAAGATTATTTTCCTGCTTTAATCTTTCAGTGTACAGTTGTTTCGCTTCGTATCTATGCTAAGATTTTTATGCTCTCGTATACCATTTAATGTTGTGGAGATTGTTGAGTTATAATTGCGATCAATGTTGATCCACCATCGAAAACCTGAGAGCACTGGACGGTCTTTTCGTTCTTGTGTGGATTCTTTAACGGTGCATATCCACGAGCGCGCATGTGGGACTCGAACTTAGATTTTTAGTGGTGGTCTAACATTGATCGGTTCATGATCTCAATAAAAATATCACTTTATCAATATGGTTAAACATAAACGGTGGTCAAAGAAAAATTCAATAGAAATGAGGCTGCGAAAACGTGTTTTAAATATAGTTTAGTGTATTTTTTATTGAAGTGATAAAAACCTTCTATACATTTAAATGAATGAAAATAAATGTTTAGTTTGTATACATAAATATTAACTTACTTGATCTGTCTTTTGACCAAATCTTCTGTCATTAATTTTGTTCTTAAGAACACTACGTGAATTTACAAATGTGTCGCTATTATTTAGTTTGTTACTATTATTATCGTCACCAAAATCATTTGCATGAATCAACTCAATTTCTTTCGAAGAATCTGAAGATGGTGATGATAAACTTAAGATTTTAAGTTGATCAGTCGACAAAGATCTCAGACGATTTCGAGATGCTTTAGCTTTTGTTTGTAATGAACATAGTTTACGTTTAACAAATGCTGTAAGATTAGTTGTCGAGGTATTACTTATAGATTTATTCTTGATATCAGTATTATTATGATTATTATCATTATAGCTGACATTATTACCAATAATATTTTGATTAGAAAGTATTTTATGCATATCTCCTGAAGAAATCGTCATATATTTTCTAACAGGTTCTTTAATTTTCTCATTCAATTTACTTGTTTTTTTTAACGACGAAAATGAAACTTGTTCTGGTTGATATTGCTGACTACACACTTTTTCATATGGAATGAAATGTTGACTGTTTGAACTAAGTGACGTGTCAATATCGGAGCTTTGGTCATTTTGAACGGAATTATTACTATTATTGTCACCAGACTTAGAATTATGTTCATGTTGATGATGTGTGGTTGTAGTGGTAGTATTAATAGAGATGTTATTTCTTTCATTATAAAGTAATTGTGTTGAGGTTTTAGTTTTATCCAGTTTAAATGCTTGTATTTGATGCTCGTTTTCCGATCTGTGTTTTGTTGTTGTTAATTTATTGTTAACATATGGTGGGATTGTGGGTGTATTGCATGAATTTGAATCATTCGAAGGATATGAACGAACTGTTGATAAGTTAGTTAAACTTTTTGATAACTGCTCATTACTATACAGTTTATTACCGTAAAATATTGAATTAGTTAGATGTGTTGAATAATTATTTTTATTCCTATGTTTCTTACCATTATTCTTACTAGTAGTATCAGTATTAGTGGTATGAATTCGAGATCGCTGCAAAGAACTAACTGAATTTTGTTCAATAGCAAGTAATGTGATCGATTGTTCTGGTAATAAATCATGTACATTAATACCAGGTGGTAAAATACATTTGAAATAAATATGCTTCAGTGCATCATTAGCTGTAATTCGACGATTTCCAACTAATGCAAGACATTCAAATAATAATTGTTGACCATCTAAATTCAATCTTGATGCACTACATGACAGTGTATTTTTAATATTTTCATTATATTTATCAATAGAATCGAAATTTTCATCATATAACTGTTTATTTATTTGAAATGAGGATTTTTTACTGCCAATTAAATTAAGATTTGTAGAAGACTGAGAATAATTCGGCTTATTTGATTCACACTTTTCATTATGTTGATTTGAATTTAAATATTCTAAAAATTTAGGATTCGTCCTTAAATTGGGCCAGTAGGACTCTGGTGGAATTCCTGGAAAAGTATGAAATATTTTATTTGAATCAAAAGTAAAAAAATAATGAAATATAGGTTTATGTATTATTTAGAACTACGTTTACAAATTAAACTCCAAAGAAATGCTTAAGGATGTTTTCTATTAATACTCTCTTCGGCCATTTTTATTATTGATATTCACTACCAAGAAAGGTGTTTCTGAAGCTTTGTAAAACAAATATTCTTGAAAAATTAAAACCGCTTTCATTCGATGTTTCATTACAAAAATAATTTTGTAACTGGCTATCAATAAACTGTACCAATCGGACGTAAGTCGAATGGTAGGATTTTTAGATCAGGTGGATGATTTAAGTGGAGTTTTGTTCTTTGAACTGAATGGTTTGGTCGTAATGTTTTGATTGTTTTACTGAATAACATCATCAGCACAAACTTCAGGTAGGATTGAAAAGTTTGAATTTCTCCACACGTGACTAGCACCTTGTCCTATCAACCTCAGTCCTGATTGACTATTGTTGACCTCTAATCAGTCATTGTCTACATTTTTATTTTGATTGATTTGGTTCTTGGCCCTATATTTGTCCATTATTTTTGTGATAGTGATGGACGTATTTTATTGTTCAGGGCTTGACTTGACTTTTATTTAGTCTTGGTTCTTATGTTCAAACAGCTGAGTTGGCTACGTGTATAGAAAGCATATCTATTAGAAGATTTGGACAAATGAAGAATGTAATAGATAGCAACCGGTTAGTAGCAAGATTTCATAGTCGATATGATGTAATGATTTCATAATAAAACTATTCAAATAGTGTGCACTCTGTTGTTTAATCCATATCTATATTTAGGGATCGAATGTACATAATATGACAACTAGGCAATAAAGATGAAATATATTGAACACTGTGTTATGTATACCACCTACCTAAACACTTTTAAAAAATGAATACTATTTTGAATTTTATTTGCCAGGAAAATATTACGCACACCATGTAAATTAGTTGGTTGGAACTGGTGATCAGAAACACCCATAACTAGGTTTCACTCTAGTTGGGGCTCATAAGGTGGGTACATCTTTAACCTTGAAAGATACGATGTTCCCTACGAGATTCAAATTCACATACTATATGTCCAATGAAGATATTGCGCTATTAATTAGTGTGCATATATGATCTTTTATACAGTTAAAGTTTCAATGGTTTTTTGATTAACACCAACTTATAGTAAAATTTATCAACCTCCTTAAAATAAGCTATATACTAATTGTTAATGCTTTTTTATGCAGCTACTATGTATTAAGCAATCGTGAAGGCAAATATATATATATATATATCTAATAAATATTCACATAACAGAGAATAATTATATTACATTAAAAAAAAACTGTGTACCATTAAGTTTCTATGATCATAACTTAATTAAACAGCAAATATTCTCTTATGATATCCCTATTATGCTCTATGAATAAAGTTAAATAGCGTTATATGTTATGTGTGTTTACTTTGAATCCCGCTTTTCATCAATTGTCTTAAGTTGCATTGAAAATTGAAGTTTATATATATATATATGAAGCAAGTTTAACGCCTAAAGATTATATCACAATTTAATTAACATTAATTAATTTTAACTAAATTATTCATTTAGAGAATGGAATAAAGTAATTAACTTGTTTACCGAATTTTCTAAAAATAATTTTAATTTGATCTTCTTTTGAAGTACCCGGAAAAAGACTATAACCTGTTGCCATTTCATACAGAATACAACCAGCTCCCCAGATATCAATATGACCGGAGTAGTTTTTATCACCTAACAGTACATCTGGTGGTCGGTACCTGTTATGGAAAAGAACGATAAAATATGAAAGCTTAATATGATAAATGGTAAATTCCTGAATGTTTCACTGAAAATATCTTTACTCACATAAGTTATAGCTGATTCATTATATAAATTTAAAAGTGAATGATTATAATTTTAGTTAACTGATAACAAACGCGTTTATTATTTGAGTCAGAATCATTTTATCTTTAGTTATGTGTATACTAAGCGGGTTCCCTTGATAAATATCATTAAGTCACGAATGTTTGAGTAGAAATGGATAGTAACTGATCATGGGATTTCAGAAGCAGCATTTGATTCTTTTTGGAACTCTTCATTGAGCATTAAACCATTTATCTTCAGTCTTTCATTCAATAGGAAAAAGTACGTTTTTATATGCAAATCAATAATGTTTTCATATGGATTTGATAGTAACATTTAACTGACAGACTTTAAAACAATATTATTACATAGGATGAGAAAAAATTAATCTCTTGTTTATTGATAATGGTTTTTTTTAAATATTTGAAAATATATATTTCTGTAAAACCATGAAATTGGTCACTTACTGACATTTAATAGTTCAGCATATGAATCCTACTGAATACCAAACTTCAAGTGATCAATTCAATAACTTGGGCTACTTTATTTATAGAATAAGTTTACTTAAGCAAATCAGGGAACAAATAAAAAATGACATCTTTTCTAAAAACCATTTGACTGACTTATTAAGAACAATGCTGTCCAGCTTCCGTAAACTATAATAAATCGTTTGAATACACTAAAATGTAGTGTATATTTTCATTAAACATGATGGAATTTCTAAACAGATTATTAAACGTGTTAAAAGTATGAAACTGAAATGACGTTTCAAGATTTTCCAAAAATTCAAGTCAATTATTTTTGACCATAGTGTTTCTTAAAATAACGCGTCTGAAAATACAATTCTGATGACTTTAGAGAAATATGATCAAAGTGCTTTCTTGTTGCTTTATTTTCATATGACTTACTAGAAATAAAAACTCGAGTGCATTTCAGAAATATAAATAATAATTTTTCATTTGTAGCTAAAGTATCGATAGGTAGGTAAGAATAGTTGTCGAAGAAGCAAAATTTTGCATGTTAATATTTTTTTCGGAAACATCATTCGACTGAGTTAGTCCATATTTCACTCTCTCTCTTTTGAGCTACTAATTCGCGGTAATTGATTAAGCATAAAGGTGTTCAGTTTTGTTATTACTAATGTGCTTAAATTGAACAAGAATATAAATTTTTTTGTCAAGCGGATTTATTAAGTAAGTAGTTTATCTAGAAAAATGTCAAGGAGAAATGTTCAGTATCTCCGTTAATGTGGTCCAGTAAAGCTGATTTAATAGACTGAATAAAGATTAATTATTTCATACACGTTGAAAATCGTCATTCATCTCAGATAGAAGAGTGATAACGATAGATTGTGTATAGTTTTTAAAGCATTTTCTATTGTGAATTGATATCGTTTATGAAACTGGGATACAGTCAAGAAGCTGTCTCATCTAAGTATGAAAATATTTATTTATATATATTTATATATTTTGTATATGCTAGAAACCGAGATTTTAAAGTGTTGCAGTTATCATGATAACAAACAATTTCTAATTATAATGAAACGGCTCACACTGTTGAGCTCCAGTCATTTTGTGACACAACGAAGTCATCGTCACCATCGACATCATATTCTTACTCAAATTTGACAGCTATTTTCCATGAGTTTAAAACCTGTGTTTATTAAGTTCATTCTATACTGTTTCAAATTACAATGAAACACAATTTTATATTTATTCCAACTTTTTAGTTATTTCTCAGCTACTACTAGTCTGCAATAAAAATCGTTTCATTTGTATATAATCTCTTGTTAGAATCATATCAAAAATCTTAACGAAATTAATTCATTTGCTAATTATTTTGCATAGTCAAGTCAATAATGATGAGCTTGGATTTAAGATCCGTATATTAAATTTTCTACTTAACTGAAGTTTATATTCTTAAAAAAATATTTCTACTGTTTAATTATCATAATGTGATGTATGATTATCCCCATAGATATGATATGTGTACTAGTGATTAAATTTTTTAGTTGTTTGGTTTAAATTATAAAAACTGAGTGAAAAATGTGAAGTCATGGTGATAAAAATGTGAGACTAATCAAGCCCTGTTTTTCACTTTAATTTGATTAGGTATGGTACACTTAGTATTTTATCAAAAACTATTCTCACATCATGTGGTCTAGTATTATCATCATGGCATAGACATATCATATAAATTAGACGTGAATAAAAATCTGTTGGAAACTGTGCTAGTCACAGGGTGGATTATATAAATTAGAATATAGATTATTGATATAGTATTTTACCTAGACTAATACTCTATAATAAAAAATAAATTATAAGAAACAGACAAGGAGAATTTCCTAATTTCAATAGTTTATGTTTGTGGTAGCTACGAGCATTGTTAATCTCAGAGTAAAGTTCGTTTTAATAATATTTATTAAATTACATTAAATAAAAATAGAAAATCTGCCACATTCTTTAAGCAATATTATTTACAGTTAGATTAGATCTCTTAATAAGGCTCTACAGGTTACACAATGTACCAAGTTTGTAAGCTAATTTTAATTGATGCATGGATTCAGTATTCACTTGACTTAAAAACATTATTAGCAAGTGTATTATTTCATTGATTCTTTCAATTTTAGCAACTAGATGCATTATCTCTGAACTATTCATTTTACATAGATATTAATGTATTATATATAATTAATAACTGCCAAATAGTAAGTAATTTGATACACTAAAAGTAACTACAATCAGTCAAATAAATTTGCTACAATAATACAAATGTGTTTTGTGTAGGGTTTAAAAAATAATTTTTCAGTTTGTTATTTTATTGAAGAAAACGTTTAACTACATGGTATTCGACGTTTTTTCAGTGTGGTCTAGTAAACAGCGAATAGAGGCCAGAATATTTTTAATTTGACCAGTAAAATTTCCACCATTCAGTGCAGTTATTGGAAGAATTATATTATCTACGTGTAAGGCATACAAATAGTGCTTCGGTCACACAGTACAAAATACACATCTGTATATAATCTAAACAGATCTTGAGAAAAATCAACTTTTAATGTATAACCTTTTTAAATAGGCAGGGTTCTTACTTCCAAAACGTATGAAAGAACCAAATATAAGATGGAGGATACTTTTATGAAGTTATTTTATACATAGTACTTTGCTATCAAGAGGTTTTCAGAAATTTGATACATTAATTTAGCAACTCCGTGAAACCTTTTGTTATAGATTCGAGCAAAAATATAAGGAAACGTTTCTCATCAAACTCACTTAATTTTATTTATAATTTATTATTAGGTATAACATCCTTTCAGTAAATATCAAAGTACTGTATCTAGATGATATGGCTTTCAAGTGGTATTACTTTTTTCAGGAAAAGTTATATATGCGAAGAAATTCTTAATTTTACGGTAGCTGACTGCTGCTACGGATGTACAAGGAACAACTTCAATGCAAACAGTGTTAAACGAGCTTGTTGTAGTCCTGAACAAATAATAACTTGTCAATCGATCATTATTAAAGGTTACACTAACATATCCACCAGTAAAATGGGTTATATATGCAAAGAGTTTATCCGCTTTCGAAGTTATGTGCTTATTATATATAAAAAGATTTAGTAACTCGTTCAGGGCAAAAGGAAAACAGATAGACCATAAAACGCATTGCGCCAGACACTAGAGGCAGACGTTAAAAGAGTGATTAATACTTGGTAACAACTGGACGGGAGTGCACAGGACAGAATTCGATGAAGGATTTTGGTTCAAAGCTTATGCTCCACAAGGAATAATAGGTGTAATTAACTCGTTCAAGTCATATCTTCCGAGTAAAAGATTGCACAAATTTACTCAAAAAAAATGAATACCCACAAATTTTTTGAAAAGTATGTTAACAAAGTAAATATAGAACTTCAAATGATAAAGCGTTTTTCAAAGAACTGTGTTCTTGAGACTGGAATATAAAAATGTTTAAATCAAGATAGTGGCACAGATTCTCAGAAATGCTAAGGACTGAACAGTTACTTCTGTAAAACCATGTTTTCTTTGCGATTTTCTTGAAGTAGAAAGTGAAAATAAAGAAACGAAATAGAATTCTCCCAATGTATAAACGGCTGAGTTCATCTGACCCCATTGCTTTAGTTAAACAGATCACATCATCAAACTAATTCGTTTCAGGTTTTATAAGTGCTATCCACATAATAATAGGGAACAGAATATAAGGATTATGAAGTGTTTCATTTGTACGCACTTAGTTAAAAAAAAGTATAGATTATCATCTCTTATTCATTAAAGTTTAAGTTTCTTAGTTAATGTACGTATTTATTATACACGTCATAATCTAATAACACCTACCAAAAAAAACATATTACAACAGTGTTTCATCTTAACTACTTTCCACGTCACAAAATAAATTCGCAAGTAACTTGTTTCTTGCTCTACAATTTGTAATTTCTTATCTGTAAGTTGTTAAATGTATTATTATTTGACTTAGTGACAAATTTCTAGAGTTATAGCTTGATTATTAGCGCTGCAACTGTTATTAAGTAGAGCTAGATGGTGGCTAGCAGTGCAATCTAAAACGCACTCAATGTCTTATTTGGGACTCGTCAGCTAGATGTACCTTCACCCCAGTATCGATGTTCACACAGGGACTCAAACCCTAGTCTCTTTCACTTCAAACGCTCAGGTAGCTATTGGCTTGTACAACAGGGTGACATTTAATTCATATATGTTGTTTCAAGTAATCAATACCAATGAAGTCTGTCTTTGTTTTCATCACATATAAACTTTTGGAGTTTAATACAAGTACATTATCTTTAGAAATTTTTCGAGTACTTTTTGAAATTATTATTCTTATTATCACTACATGCAACTTCAAGTTGACAAAATACTATTAATTCAGTTTTTCTGATACAATTATTCATCATGACTATTACTTGGACCATTTAATTGATTGCATTATATGTTGTTGAATTTAATATATAAAGTCAATGACTGAGTGTAGTGATGATGATGATCATAATGGTAATGAATTAACTTGTTAAAAACAAAAAAAAATATTTTCTTCACTTTCATTGTTAAATTCTTATTGATTTAAGTTTGGATTTTTGATTATCTTGAGTGTGTTGCAGTAACTGAGATAAATGCACACTAGTTGTTACGTTTTTCAATACAGAGAAATGTGTCTTGTCTCTATGTGTATATGTTTGTGTATATTTGTAAGTCGTATGTAATAATGTGGTTAAAAAAACTCTGTTAATATTATTAAGTCAATAAGTAATATCCAAATTTATTATCTTTTAGTCAAATACATCATATCCTGATTTAGTTTTACTATAGAAAGAGTATTAAAATCATTGAATTAATAGCCAAGGCATACAAATGTAATGAAATGTTAAACAATGAACTGTGGGTTTATGTAAACCTAATTCTACTTCAGTTGCTTATTAGTATACCCGATAGCAAGAGCTCTTTCTTTTTCCATGTAGAAGGATTCAAATTAAACACAATTAGTGATTATCATAATTGCTTCATAAATCTATGCTATTTGACATAACAAATAATAATTTCTTCAGAACGTCATCAATAACGGAAAAAGTAATCATGTGCAGAGTAGCGGTTAAAAAAACAATACTTGCAATTCGTACATTTGATAAAATATTCATGACTTTAATTTGAGTACACAATTTGTATTTTAATGATTAAAAGGAACAATTTGGCCTACAAACAGATCTGACTCCGTATTTAGGCTTTGAATTAATGGAATTTAGCTTGCAGTATATTCGGTTAATAATTGATAACTTTCTCTCTCTCTCTCTCTCTCTCTCTCTCTCTATATATATATATATATATATATATATATATGCAATTACTATTTCTTTGTTTCAAAGACTTATTGTAATAAACATTTACAGTTACTTATTACAAGATCGCATAATGTTATTTACAGTGCCCCCTAGATTTCAGTGGATTTCCTCACAAACAAGATCAAGTGTTATGTCAAAAACTACCATCTACTAAACAGCATAAAAATATGTACCCTAACAAATTCAATGGTAATTATAAATATTGAATAGCAATATCCCACATATTAATCAAAGTTTATCGGTAATATGCTTTGGTAACTTACAGGTCCAGCTGTTATTATTTGTGATTTAGGCCTTAGAAGTTCTCTTTAAACATGGAAACCTACAAACTGGTTTTTAATCACATTCAGTTTCTCAGTGACATCAGTATCCAACTGTTTATTCTGAATACCTAATACAACGTGATTGATTAGTTCCAGTGTAATTTTACAAAAACTACAGTCGATTTACATAAAAGGTATGAATGATTTATGAATTTTTAAGTTAGTCATTGGACAAGAATTTGGTTTATAAACCTTAAATAACTTGAAATTTCTCTGATAAAAGCGTTAAGTCATGGTTAGTGAATTATAATATAAATGATTAGAATAACAAAATAATCATAACACTAGTCGTTTGAGGTTGCATGATTTAAACTTGGAACAATAGGAATTGATTTTAATGCTGAACGCCTTTTATAAATGGAGTTTGGTAATTTATTTAAAAAAATTATTACACCACGTTCAAGGTGTATTATGCTAAACAATTAGTTTACAAAATATAAAAATACAGTTATTGTTAAAGTAAGCATTTTACTCACTCACTGACTCACCAGAGTGTTACAACTTCACTGGAATATGTTCTAATTGGTACAGACTGTGAACGTGCCAATCCTGAATTAAAGATTATCAACAGTTAATTAAAATAAGGGAATCAATAAACTACCTAAATAAAAATCTCAAAATTGAACTTTGAAAAATATTATTTAACAGGTAGGTTTTAAAACATCTAGGTGAAAAAAATGATGAATAGAATAGTTTAGTGAACCTGAATAAATAAATGTAATGTTTCTTCGTTAAACTTAAAAACCTATTCTGCAAACACAATAAGTGGCAAAATCATTTCATAATCTTTTCTTTATTCATTTTAGATGGTTTGCATGATTTAGCTGAGCAAAAGCGAGAATAATAGCTTAGTAAACACTAGTTGATTTTTGACATCATTCACATATTTGTGTGACTTTAATCATTATCCGTGTGTACATAAATAGTTCTCGAGACGCAGATAAATGTGAACGACAGGTTATAGTTTATACACGTCACTGTCCGTGTAAATCGACTCTAATGGATAAGTTCCAATGACCAGCTGTATGGTTATTCAATTAGTTCATCAATCACCCGCTTCGAACTGAAAGCAGGGTATTTTTGTTCTGCTTCATTTGTAAATAATTTTCATGATTTCCAATCCTATTCTAGTTTGGATATTTTGTTACTTCATAGACCTGTATAAAATATTTTCGTGTATCAGTTGGTGGTAATTTGGCACATTGTCATTCACTTTACTGATAATACAATTTTGTTATATTCAAAATAACATATTTTGTATTTAATAACAGTTTATCCAATATTTAAGTTAAAATTATGTAACTTTAGGGGTTGTTAAATCCACCAAGTAGTAATAATAAATGAAGGTGGTTTTTAAGATGAAACTGTGTACTATTGAATAACTGACACTTAGTGATTATATTTTGAAAAAAATATTTATGCTGTATGATTGGTAAGCGTTATATTACTTTGTCGAAAAATTCGGTACGTGAAGAATCAACTCACGGATGAGTTAAATACGTGACATTTTTAATAACCTCAACACTATGGCATCAACTTGTTACTAACTTAGCTATGCATAGTAAACTGTAAATTCACTGATCTGGTCAAGGTGTAAGTAAATAATGGTGAAGACTGTTCTATAGTAAACGAATAGCAACTTCATCTAATGAATATTGAATATTGTCTATCTACATGCTTTAAGCTGACAGGTAACAAGATGATACTGTTAAACTAATGTTCACCTAATTTATTGTACTAAAAATATCTCAATTTTATACAATCGTTTGTGTATATTATTCAAGGCTAACCCTAGATAATTACGTAAATCTTTGTGAAAACCTCGATTAACAAGTAATGAATAAATTAGGGTGACTTTATTTGTGCTTTATTTAAAATTTATTCTGGTTAAAATTTTAGCTTTCATGTGGTTTGTTTAAATGATAATGTCGTAAATACGAATTTTCCTTTTTAATTCGTGTATTTCAAGTGATTGATAGTTAGATTGTAGCGTATAGAAAACGACATTATTCAATGGAAAATCAATGTTTTCTTATGTATCCCTATTCTGTTATTTAACCATTTATATCTCTTTTATTAATTATACTATAAAATTTACAATAGCAGTGGATCAATAACGCGCACTATCGGATTTGAATTTGATCATTTTAATGTGTGGTTTTTTGTCAAGAAAATGCATTGCAACTCATCAACTAGATTTATTTCAATGACTATAAAGAGTTTATCTTAATCTTAGTTTCTTATTGAATATTGAAATGTTAATTGTCGCTAGAAAAGATCTTATTACATTATCCCTATATGACACACACAAGAGTGAATAATAATGAAATTAGAATAGCTAATTTTGTTCAATGTTTCTAATGTAGTTGACGTGAAATTCTAGATTTAAGATGTTTGAATGCATTACCCATCATGATCAAGATAAAACTGTAGCATTCATAGGAATTATTTTCAATTATTACTGAAGCCATTAAATCCATCACCCATGTATTCATATCAGTACTGGTTGCTTGTAAATCTTTGTTGTGTGCATGAAGAAACTATGATGTTTTGAGAAAATTATAGAGTTTATAATAAACATTTTCAATGAATAATATTTCTATCTAACTGTAAGACCTTCAATTACATTTTCCATGTGCAGATGATACTACTTATATCGACGTTTATATCCAAGCCAAACTTGGAATAGTTAAGAGAATGAATGGATAATACTCTACATATCATGCTGATACAAAAAATTATACAAATACCAATGGTTGAGTGATAATACAGGTAAATATGTTTTAGTTTCAAAATGTTACTGTAGATTTAAAATTCCAAGTTGTTTTACAAATACTTTTAACCGAAAACGTCTAATGATTTTCGGCAACATCATGTGCATAGAAACACAAAAGAATAATTGTTTTTAGGTAGAATTGTTTACATCATAAACTGATCAACTGCTATTGTATTTCTAATATAAGTTTTTTATTTGTTTTCAGCTTTCTGCTTGTGATAATAATTACAGTTAACATTCAGAACAATAAGTAATGCACTAGAAAAACTTTGAACAATTTTGTTTGTCTAGGGTTTCAATATATTTGCATTTATTTCAAACGAAGAACACTATTAATTCATTCAAAGCAAAATATAGACGAATTGTCTTCAACTGCTACTAATTGGGTTTGTGTAGGTTGTAGTATTTTCACAGTTGAAATCAAGAAATTGACCTTAGTTAAAATACAAATAAAAAACCTGATCTGGTCAAGATCAGTTTGCGATTTCCATTGTTAGTATTTACTTAACACTTATCCTTTATTTCATCTCATGATAACCAACAAATAAGAGTGTATATGAGGTTTTATATTTTTAAATTTGTGAAGTTTCATCTTAATAAATCCAATGATTGTTGAACCCTATCATCAACGGGAAACGGGTACTAGGTAAGGATGGCAAATCAATTGATGAAGTAGTGAAACTTCATCAGTTGAGATGGCTGGGACACGTGTTACATATGCCCAACGACCGACTGCCTCGACGTGCTATGTTCAGTGGTATAGGAGTAGGTTGGAAGAAAGCTAGGGGCGGCCAAACCAAAACATGGCACAAGTCCATGAAGTCACTGACAAGTGAACTGAGTCATGTTGGTAGGTGTAGACTACCTGATTGGGGACCACGAGATGATAGCAACCGATGGTTAGAGACCTTGAGTGACATGGCTCCAAATCGTTTGCAGTGGTGCAGGTGCACCCACTCTCTGTGTTCTCCGAAATTCTAATCTTCTGAATTCTTCATGTCACTTTTTTCCTCTTTCCAGATTTATTTCACTGGATTATACTCTTTAAATAACACCTTCAAACCCTAATGTTTCTGATTACTGCTTATACTCTCACTACCTCTACCACTACGGGATTTGAATCGACCACTGCATCTCTGTGCTAAGGTGTTGTGGCAACTCGAAATGATGTACGTACGTACGAAGTTCTACGTTGTTACTGACTGACTGACCTATCATCAACATCTTTCCACTATAAGCTTACCCATTCCTTCTTGGAGTTGGTCAGTAGTGAGCGAATGATAATCCCCAGCATTATTAATTTTCAGAACAGTGACACAAAGCTTCGTATTTTAATTAAGGTATTCTTAATTTTATTAATGATACAGACTGTAAGATTCATACTTCTTCGTTATAATGTACAACTATTAACTAATCTTTCAATATTCCGCTGTTGATGATTCCAACACTATCAACCTTTGTGTTTATTGAGAGCTGTGTTTCAGATATTTGAGGCTAAATCATATAAATAGTGTTGACATACATAACACATTTAGGATTTTGGCTGAAAAAGATTTGAATTAGTATTATTCCGAATCCTAACACAGTAAATAAAATGGAATCTACTATAAGTTGTTATTCCACAAATTATATAGTCGATCGTTACGGAAATTTTGAAGGTAATTTTACTTTCAAATCACATTTATATTTCACGAGGAAACTTTTAGAAACTATCGATATACTGAAAGGTTACATATTTCAGTAACACATAACTTCCTAATAATTTAAAGTCTAATAGATAATAAGAAATGCTTTTACTGATAACGATCATGTGATGAAAATCCTTTTAAAATCTTGATCAGCAATTTCACAGAAATATGTCTACTACTTCTGCTACCACTACTACTATTACTATTGCTATTATGCTGAAGTGTAGAATGTAGTATATCAAATGTAAAAAAATATGTTCACTTAACTCTAAGAAGAAACTCATGAATAATTTATGAAGTAATGTTCATCTTAATTAAAATTACTGCGTAAAGATTAATAGTTAGCTGGTAAACAAATCAATAATATCATATCAATATTTTACCAAACGTTAATAGGCCTACTACAAAAGGTTCTAGAAAATATCATGAACAGCGTTAAGCAGTGAAACTTTAATCAGTCAACGTCTTCAAAACAAGAGTGTTTATAGGTTGTAATTAAATATGTTTCAAGTATTATCATGATAGTGAATCATTAAATTAAACTGACATGATCGTGATAAAAATGTATCATTAATTAGATTTAACGTGTATCAATGCCAAACATTCAAATATATTATCAACAATAGTAAGCATAAAAGTTCCAATAAAAGGACAAGATGTACAAAATATTCAATTAATATCTTGATAATTGTTTTCTCATTTCTAGGTAGGAAGCTCATCCTCATTAGTGTATTAAATATCGAACTGATTTATACTACTAAAGAAATCCAAAGTATAAGGACTAAAACTAATTTATTCCCTTAAAATTCACATTTGACCATTTGTTGTCGTTCACCTGTCTTCCTACTATAAACTTGTACTTTTACTCATTATGTGTAGAGACTTATTCTATTTCATTGTGATTATTGACCCATATTGCCTTGATTGGTTTAAAATTTTCGTATAAATTTTTCTTTTGTGACAAATATTTTGTAAATATAATTATGTAAAATTTTTCTGTTTAGTACGACGTACAGATGATACAAAAACAGATTGGGCAAGTTATACGAAGGATTATAATATTAAAAATTTAATCATATGTACACATGCGATACATACCACTTATGCTGACACATATAAGTAGTATGTAGCAGCAATCGAATGTGGAATGCCTGACAGCAGAGCATTGAGAAGATTGAATTGAAGAGAACAGAAAGGGGAACAGAGAGCAATTTTAAAAACAACGTCTTCTAATATCATTATCGAAATTTATCAAAGGGACTAATTGTTTTAAAAAACAACGGAATTGAAAGAACCATGAAGCATGCAAAGGACAAATGAAGGAAGATGTGCAAATAATGTATTTAATACATGGTTTGCATATTTTTTTAAAGGCATTCTGTAATTTTTCCATAATATAATAATGTGATCTTCCACGCCAAAGTCCTCACTCCCTGCTCACATATCACTGTAGTTAACATTTTTATATTTGACCCTATTGTTCATATTTTGTTATGATCATCGATGTGTTTGATCCAGAAGATGTACTTAGTCATTTTGTAAAGTGTGGTCATACAACCCTAATTGTAATGCATTGCATATATTGCCATATGTTTTAGCAATAAGATTCGAATTGTAGGGATATTCAACCAAATAACTGCCCAGAACACCAAATAACTCTCACTGAACCAAGATTTGTACATTGTGATTTATATTTAGTTCATTGCTGACATATAGTTTTTCAGGGTCAAAATATCAAAGGCAATCATGCGTAAACTACTCGAACCAAATAAGGCACATTCCTTCCCTATACTAATTTAAGTTAAATTAATTAAAGAGAACAGATATACGGGCATCAGTATTGACAGTAAAAATAATGAATGTAACATCACTTCTCATCTGGCTAGGCTAGCTGTTGAGAAATTATGGATAACAAAGTTCGAATACACTCTATTTTTTTCAGCTTCTTAATTATTTAATATTATTAACCATCATATATTATGTGGAAAACAATGTTTAATTACAGCTGTATACATCCTTCGCCCAAACTTACTTGCTTACATATCTGGGCCTGTCACCCCCTTCGTGGAGGAGCATAAGCCGCCGACCAGCAATCTCCATCCAAATCTTTACTGAGAGATCCTTTCTACTTGTTTTCAGTTGCTGTTCATCCTTTTCATTCATGTCTGCTTCCAATTCCCGATGCACCGTGTTATTTGATCGTCCTCTTTTCCTTTGCCCTTCATGATTCCGCGTTAGCGCTTGCCTCGTGATGTAGTTTGGTGATTTCCCAAATGTGTGTCCTATCCACTTCCCATGTCTTGTCCTAATTTTTTTTCGACTGGACGCTGGCTTGTTCTCTCCCACAGTAAAAGGTTACTGATACTATTCGGCCAACAAACGTTGAGTATCTTGTGTACACAATTGTTTATAAATACTTGTACCGTATCGATTATGGTTGTGGTAGCTCTTCACATTTCAATTCCATGCAGTAGAACTATCTTTACGTTCATATGGAAAATCATTACTTTGGTATTGGTTGACAGTTTTTTTAGTTCCAAATGTTCTTCAAATGTAGGAATGCTGTCTTTGCTTTGCCCGTCCTCGCCTTTACGTCTGCATCAGGTCCTTTTCATTTATCGATGATACTAACCAGATACGTGAAAGTCTCCACCTCTTCCAGAGTTTCTCTATCAAGTATGATTGAGTTGATGTTTTCCGTGTTTTATTTGAAGATTTCGCTTGTTTCCTCTTGTTTGTTGAGGCCTACTGATGCAGAGGCTTCTGCTACACTGCTTGCTTTCAACTGCACTCATTGGCACTCATGAAACAGAACAGCTAGGTTATCTGCGAAATACAAATCGTCTAGTCACATGCAAGCTATCCATTGTATTCCGCGCTTCGCCTCAGACGTCGAGGTCTTCAGAATCCAGTCAACCACCGGAAGAAAGTGAAGAGAGCAATCTTGTATGACTACGATTCTCACTTGGAATTCGTTTATCAGCTGTCCGCCATGCACGACTTTGCAGTGTACTCCGTCGTATGGCTTCCATGTGATGTTGACAATCTTCTCAGTTATTCACTTAATAGTGTTGAAGAAGTCTCCATAATGTTCTCATATCCACATCGTCAACCACCTTCTCATAGTCAGGAAAGTTGATGTGTAGTGACGAGTTGCATTCAATTGATTGTTTAACGATGATCTGTGGTGTCTCGATTTGGTCTGTGAACGTTCGGTTCACACGAAAGACAGATTGTTGGTCTCGAAGCTGAAAGTCCACTGAATCTTTCATTTAGTCCAGTGACACAATGTTGTAAATGTTTCATGGTACCGATAGTGGTGTGATGTCTGTGTAGTTCTTACAATTTCTTATATCTCCTTTCTTTTATATCTTGATAAGATATCCTCCTTTTCAGCCTATCGATACTTGTTTCTCCTCCCAAATTTTCCTGATTAGAACGTGGAGCATGTTTACAGATATGTTCTATGTCTGGCTTGAGTGATTGAGCTGGTATATTGTCAGGTCTAGATGTTTTCCCACTCTTGATTTATCTGACGACCGTTCTGATTTCTTCGGTCGTTCATGGAGTGACATCTATAGGAAGGTCTGTTTTTGCTGTTTCAATGTCCTGTGGGTTCGGTGGAGCTGGCCTACTCAAGAGTTGATCGGTCTCTCTGGTTTACTATATTTCCCCGTCAGTTTCTTCATTGTGTCACATACCTGTCTCATATTTTCTTCTCTTGATGCCTTTCTCGCTGTTGTTGCTAGATTTTCCAACTATTTCTGCTTATCGGCACTAATGCTGTTGTTAGCTTGTTTGTTTGCTTCTGTGTATTCAGTCTGTTCCTTGGCTTTCTCTATTCTCGTTCTGCTGTCGACAATTACCGTCTTCTTTTCCATTCTTTTTTGAATCTTGACCAAGGTTTTGATGGAGATCCATTCTTCATGATGACGCTTTTTGCGGTCCAGAACCCTCTGACACGTTGAAGGTATTGCTTATTTGAACCCATACCAATTGTTCTTCATAGTAGTTTCGTTTTCAGTGAGTAGATCTTGTAAGGCTTGGAACCCGGTGTTGAGAGTTATGTTGAATTGGTTGAGTTTTTCAGTATACTGAAGGAAGGTTGTAATAACCCTTTGTAATATTGTTTGTCCAGTTGTACATTGCTTCTCTAGCTTCAGTCGCATTTGGGCAACCAACAGATGGTGGTGGATTAATGCAATGTCAGTTCCTCTTCTGGTTCTTGCGTGTCCATCTGTTTCTCTTCTAGAATTACTAACGGTCCCAACTCCGGGTAAACGAGGATGGTTGGGCATGGGGTCAGCAATACCATCTCGTAGAAGAAAACTTTACTAAAATATGCTAACCAGAACAAACAAATTAAACGACTTAATTCGCTCAAAATCAGCAATTAAAATATTTATACATATTCCGTGGTTCATTTAAAATAATCATTTTCACAGGAGTTCAAATATAACAAACGCTTTTCTAATGAATAATAATAAATAAATAGTAGTGAAGTAATACTCATTTAAAAAGTAATTCTTTTAAATGAGTTTAATATTCAGTTAATTTGTTCTTACCAAAATCAGCCAATTTCAAATCTCCAGTTTTGCTTATTAATAAATTTTGAGGTTTTAAATCCCGGTGTAATATTTGTCTTGCATGACAATATTCAAGACCTCGAAATATTTGAAAAGTGAATAATCTGACGATATTCATAGGCAAACGATTATTATGCATTCTCATGTAGCTTTTGAGATCACTTCCCTGAAAAAACGGCAAAACGAATAAATATAACGAGAAATATTGTAAGATAAACAGGATACAGCGTTACATTTTCCGTTATTAAATTCAGTATGATTTATTTAAATATAATCATAATAAAATAATGCTCAGAAAGTAACATGAGCAGAGAAAATCCACAATGATTAATAAATATTTTATTGGAATAATGAACTGGTCAGTGTTAGACCCCCACTGAAAATCTGGGAGCATCCGTTTCGTTCGAGTATCGGACTGCTCAGTAGTGCACATCCACAAACCCTCACGCAGGACTTCAACTCAAGATGTCTCGCATGAACGACTAAACTCAAGACCATCGTGTCAGCATCCATCGGTGTTAATGTTTGACTTCAACCAATCTACGATGTTGCGCGACCATCATCTGTTGTCTTCGGTGTGTAACTGTCTCAGATTCAAAACGGTTGAGCCCCAATGGTCTCGGATTCTCATTAGAACTATGAGGATTACCTCTCTAAGCTAGCGACTGGTGAGCCCACGTGACCGAAGGCCCTGAGTTCGAGTCCTACGTGAGGCATCGTAGATGCGCACTATCGACGAGTCTAATACTGGGACGAAACGCCCTTTCAGTTATTTCAGGTTTTCGGCGGGGATTTAACATTGATTGGTTCATCATTTCAATGAAACTCAACACTCTCCACAACACCACATTGAAGAATACTAGATAAACACGTAATTATTTGTCATGTAAAAATAAAAGATAGCATTTTGTTAACATATTTACTTATTATTTCAATAATAAAAAGAACCGGTTGATCACATAATACTTTTATATTCCATTCATACTTAAACTACAGATCTATTAATGCATACTTGTTAACAAGAATTCGAACACTGCCATTCAATCTGTTTCCTAATATTTAAAGATATATCAGTTTGTAAACGTGGAGAATTAGTTAATTGAAAGTCATAAAAGGAGTGATGTTGCTAAAATAACTAACGGATAAGAAATTCAAATATAAACTAAGAAACAAATTTTAAAAATGAGTTAAGCATGATATTTATCAACAGCTATTTGCAACTTCATCTGAATTTTCACTATCTTGAATAATGTTGTTTTTTTAAGACTGTGATGAGAATGAATAAACTAGCAATCTGTGGCTATAGAATTCAGTTGTGTTGCTGAATTCTTCAGCTGTCTCTGAGAATGCTTCATTCAATTACATGGAGTCTACTGATCGTTTTGGGAAACTTTTGCTATATGTTTATATAGAAAATAATCCTAGACACTTATTTGCAAATTCACTGCTTTATTGAACTCAAAGTGATAATTCAGCTTTAGGTCGGATTGATAATGTTAAATACTACTTTTGAACTACTATATTTAATTTACTTTTTTAAAAATTCATTACAATTACAAACATGTTTATTTGATCCTATAACTTCTCCTATTATCACTTTTTAAATGATAATAGTTTACAATTGTCAATTCCAGTATTTTAAAATTATTAGAATTCTGAAAAGTAGAGTTCATGTAACTAATTACACTTTTTTTAATGAGTTAACTGTACACTGTTTAAATTTACTTTATATGTTTTCATCTCCAACACTGAAGAACCTGAGACATATAGTAATAGATATACATATATCACCTAATTTGGACGTAAATGAATCATATATTTACTCTTTTTTTATCGTTTTTTAAAGATAGTCATTATATACAGTGAGAGAACGTATCACCGATAACTGGAATCGTGCATCTCGGGATAATGTGTGGTACATGTCTAGAGTACTTTATTTTATGACATCAAAAATCTGTCTCCGTATTAGTGTTGACTGATTACCATGTTTGTTATATTGAAGATACTCACCCATAAGTTTTACAACATAGATGGAAATATTTACAGTCAAATATATTTTTATAACAATGATTAGCTTAGTGATAAGTACTCTTTGTTGAATTCATCACATCATTACTGTCTTGTGTCATTGAAAATGTTATTTTCAGATACTAAATTATTGAAAACTAGAATGCATAGTATTATACATCTCTTTCGTCTATATAATAATAGTATCTATACCATTACATATAAAAGAGTGTGTTCAATTTAAACTGTTTATGTAAAATAACCAGTATTGAATAGTTGTTGAAGCCTTTATCATTTAGTGGAATATAAGACCTGAAGAATGACATTTATTTCAATAAATGAATAAATATTCTTTACTAAATAAACTTATAGTAGTCATTTTATTTGTAGAGACATTTTTTTAAAAGAACTGGCAATTTGACTTAAATGAATACATAACATTCGTGAGATATAAGTAAATTATCAACAATAGGAAATCGAAAACAAGCGTGGAAAACCTTGATAATTTCATAATCATAAGAAACATTATTACATGGTCATATATTATTTGTGTAATCAGTCAAAACTCATTCACAAAACCAGGATTGTCACAGTTTATCATTTAAACAATTATTTTAATCATTGTTAATTGAACACATGTAAAATATTTTTTTATTCTATATTAGAAATATTTAAACTTGGTGCCTTGTAATCGACGTAAGAAATTAGATAAGTGTATTTCTTTCATAAAAGAAAAGATTGATATTGAGCAAAATCGATTACCACGAGATCAGAAAATGTTTTAAATCCAGATCATTGTAATAAATAATTATTAATACAGATAGACAAATGATTTTAAAAATAAAACAAAATATAGTGCCATTTTTTTAACTCTTAAAAAGAAAAAAAATACACTTCATAGATGTAGAGAAAACAAGACAGAAACAATAAAGGGTAACAGAGATTATGTGAAATCGGAGTATATATTGTAACTGTTACTACTACTAAATTTATCATGAGAGTTACTAAGAAAATAATTGAGTTAGCTTTAAACAATGTATGTTAATTACTGTAGTGTAGTACATATAGATACTTATGGATATCAATTTTCTTTTCTTTAATTAAAGTAAAATTGTTATTATTGTTCACATTCATATGAATTTTGAGTAGAGTTACTGTGATATTGCAAGTTTATCACAATACGTATGGATTTATGCATAATATATATTTACAAACTGAAAAACAATTGGTGATTCATCAGCGCTGTTGTTGATTTTTGTAATAAATTAACATCTAAGATTAGTTTATTTGTATAATGCGTAAATGTTTGATTATATGAAGCGTAACTCATGAAATATACTTATGTATTTGAACATTTACAGAATAAACTTGCATTTTTTAACAGTTATCTTAGTATATATATATATATATATAATACAGTTGATTCGTTAGAATTCAGTGACTAAGAAATCAAATACGCCATACAGATTTCAATTCTAGTGAAGTCAAAAAAACACAGTCAAAATCAGAGGTTAGGTTTGTGCAATCATATCTCAGAGTTACGTGAACTTAAGGTGAAATATCACTCAATTTATATGTTTATGTAGCTCTAAAATAATCAAAATATTATATTGATCCTTTTATAAATCCATTCTGAAATATACTCGTTCAATGCATGGTTCATAAATTTGAAGTGAAGTATAAACATTTTAATCCACTTTCAAAACAATACTACGGAAGTTAGTAAAAATGTTATCTTTCATCATTAGCGGGCCTTATCAAGGTATAAGTTCTGTTTGTAAAGAGATATTACATGTGACATTTTGAAAAATTATAATTATGGGAAGAATATAGATGGGACACATGTGCATAAACGTACGGTATTACTTTCAGTCCGACCTTTATAATGTTTTATTCTACATATATATATATATATATATATATATATATATATATATATATATAACAATGTTAATTGTTTAGTGATTATAAAGAAACAGATTTCGCAACTAATAATAAATATAACAAGAACGTTTTAGAACATTTCACTCGTAAACATAATTATTCGCTAGTAAACTGTAATATCAACTCATACTTCAAGTTATCTCGAAATTTATCTAGCATATTTACTAATCGTAGAAAACATTTACCAGTTGATATATTCATACCTCCGCAGTTGCACAAAAACCTATAGTAAGGATACATGATAATTATTTTATGTTATTGTTTATCACAATTATTGAACACAGAATGGAAAAGAAGAAAAGAGAGAAAACAACTTACTCCATATTCAAATACCAATGTCAATGAACCGGCCTCATAAATAACATCGTGCAGTTTCACAATATTTGCATGGTTCAATCCACGAAGAAGACTAATTTCACGTATAGCTGTACACGGTGCACCTTCGGATTTTTTCATACGTATTCGTTTCAAAGCCACTAATTGTTTAGATACTAAGCTATAACCCTTATAAACAGTTGCATATGTTCCCTTGAAGTTAGTTTCATTGTGTTTTAAATAAAAATTAAAAAGAAACTGATTAAAATCCGAAAATTATATGGCATAATATTGTAAATAAAATATTTATTAAACTGGTCTTTCGAACTCTATTTCTTCAATGAGGATACCATGTAAAATATTATGATGTTTTCAGTTATATCACAATTGTTTTTATGTATTAATGTAAGAACGCCTAGAATTATTGTTACAGTAACTGAAATAGATATGTGATATTACATGTGTACCGGATACATTGGGATTTATTAAAAGAGGATGCTACAAAGTTGTAAAATTATAAAACTACAAAATCAATACTAAGATGGATGGTTTTGAATACCAATAGAAAGGGCGATCAATTCAGTATTATAAAAATATTTTACGAATAAACAACATTTATTGTTTCAAAGCATAATATATGCTTTATACACTTGAAAATTGTTTTTTCATATTTATTTATGACTATCAAAATAAATATAAAAAATAATTATTGATTACATATCTCAAATTACTAATTTACTTTGAGTATGATGGTTAGAACTTTGAAACTAGTTGGATCAGGCTAGTCATATGATCACTACAGAATTCTTAAATCCAGTCATTAAAAACTGACAGGTTTGAATGTGATTCAAAAACTTTAAAGCATCATAAGTGAAGACATTAGAATAATAATTACTCAACACTTGATAATGAGTGATGTATTAAATAACATATTGCTATTGGTAAAATGATGTGTTAGAGTATTGACATCAAGTAAATATTTTATTGTTGATAAAATGTAAATTAGCCAATCTTTTTATAATTTTAAACTAATATCATGAATGGGTCAATTTTAGACCACCACTGAAATCCTGGAAGAAGTGAACGGTCGTTTCGTCCCGGAGTAGGACTCCTCAGTATTTTAAAGGCCGAGCATTCGCCCGCGAGACCAAAGATTCTAGGTCCGAGCCGCGCATATTGAATTGTGGATGCGCACCGCTGAGGAGTTCCATACTAAAACGAAGAAACCATCTAGTTCTCCGAAGTTTTCAGTGGTGGTTTGACATTGATCCATTCATGATATCAATTTAAACTCAACAATTTCCACAAATGTATACCGACTTTTTATAATTATCAAGATATTTGAGATAAGAAACTCACTTCACCCAACTTTTCGTATATTTTGTAAGATGAAAGTTTACCATATCCTTTTTCATACTATAAATATTAGAAATTTCACATTATACAAACGTAAGTAGTATAGAGCAAGCAGATCGAGAAAACAAATAAAGAAAATTAACTAATATGTATACTGAATTGTCTACTGTTCAATTTTAAAAGTAAAAACTATAGAAAAATATTTTTCGAAAAATTCAGTTTATTCATTTAACGTAAAAAGGAAATTTGAAATCTGATCCCATTTCACCAGAATTTTGTTGTTATTTAATTAGTTATATTCACTAGTTATCAATCTAAGTGAAACAGAGGAATACTAATAGATTTATTTTGCTGAAACAACATGATTATTTGATTAATGTCAGAAGTATCAAGCTATAAAAGCTTCTTTTAGGTGATCACTGATAAGTTCTGTCTAGATTAGTGAACATTAGACATCAATAACTTACTGTATGCAATACGACAATGGAAATATGTTTTAAAAAAATCAAATAAAAAAACCTGTGAATTATTCGTACATTTTGATCGATTGTCATTGATGCAATAAGTAGTTTAACTTATTGATGCTCCGAAAATATTTAAAACTCGCTAACTCAGATTGTAGAATAATGTCTTGCCTTATGCATTTGGCAATCCAAGAGAAGGCATCATCATAGAGAGAAATCGAGAAGTAAGTAACAACAGACTTTGAAACTGTGTTACAAAAAGCATGCTTAGATATATTTTAAAGTTATTTGTCCTCTGGTATTGTGGCCAAATTCAATTAAGATTTAAACTTCACTTAAATATTTGAAATTTCCATGACATATTGTTTTTCAGACAAGCTGTTTATCTTGCCTGCAAATTACGAATAAAGTTAGATGTACTAACCAAAGTTATGATCCGTTGACCTAGAAGATATTAACTATGACTTGCAAATTTAGTGTACTACCTTAGATTCAAACTTATGGCTAATTATAGAAGGAATGATCAAGCATCCTGTCATTATAAAATTATGTGATAATGCAATGTATTCTGAAGTTCGCACTATAAACTGTGCTTCAGAAAGTCAAGTGGTTTCTGATATTGTCTTCCTGATTTTTTAATCGATCTGACATTTGCTTTATAATGTTCTATTTATATAATCATTTGTATGGGACACAAAATAAACAGTTTGAACTTCAGTTTGTGTCGTTAACTATATACAATTTATTTATAACTACAATATAAGTTTCATACTGTGATATTTACAAACTCCTAGAAGTTAATCACTTGTGGGCACATTATTATCTATTACTATAGAAAGCTTTGGAAATTGTTGAAGTTAGTTGTTTTCATCACAGACTAGTCTTCGTTAAATAAACTCCTATAGCTATTAATCTCATGTCCTCACTCACTGCAGGTAACGTGAAATAGTTGTGAATATCTCAACCGAATAAAGCTAAACACACAAATCATTGGATTCCAGCTGAATAGTCTAGAGATTAAGGGCTTGCCAAGAGCTTGGAGGTCCTGGGTTCCAACCCCATATGGGGTGTGATCCGCACTGTCAAGGAGTCTGACATTGCAAAGAAACGGC